ATCGAAAAATGAGCCAGGAGTGGTGGAACGCACCTGTAGTTCCAGCTACTCAGGAGGCTGAGGCCAGAGGATCGCTTGAGCCCCAGTGGTTGAGGCTGTAGGGGAGCTGTAATTGCGCCACTGCACTACAGCCTGGGCCACAGAGACCACATCTCCAGAAAAAGAAAAAAAAAAAACTTGTTAGTTCAAATGTCTGGGACCTGGCTGGATTTAATTTTCAGGGAGCTGTGTGTCTGCAGATGTGCACACCTTTATTTCTTACAAGCATTGGTGTATTACAAATTAGCACTAGGAAAGAAATCTAGAGACTGAGTTTTCATAGAAATTACCTGGTGCTGCTTCAGATATAACGTGACTTATTGAATATCGAAACTGCCTTTCTGGCTGGTGGGCAGTATTTGCACATGACGAGATAATTCCTGTTTTTCTTATTATTTTTAGTAATAGAGACGAGGTCTCACTGTGTTGCCCAGGCTGGTCTGGAACTCCTGAGCTCAAGTGATCCTCCCGCTTCGAGCTCTCAGAGTGCTAGAATTACAATACCCTGTGTTTCTAAAACTGGTCTTTGTTTTGTTTTGTCATTAGCATGTGTGACACAAGAGGTCAACATTGAACTTAGCGTTTTCAGTAGCTAAGATGAAATGTTTATATTAATGTGCTTCTGTTTCTTCATGTTTCAGGAGGAAAATAAGATTTTATTTTATCATCCAAATGAGGTAGAAAAGAATGAAAAGATTAGAAATGTCGGATTGTGTGAAGCTATTGTACAGTTCACAAGGTAATACCTTTAAGTGTGCCTTTTAGAGTTCAGTGAATTCTTAAAACTTCTGCTGGAGAATTGTCTCAAACATATTTTTTTAACCTTTGTAGGACCTTTAGCCCATCAAAACCTGCAAAATCTTTACATACCCAGAAGAATAGACAGTTCTTCAATGAACCAGAAGAACATTTCTGGATGGTCATGGTATTTACATACACGGTGTATCTTTCTGAAATTGTACGGTGAAGTTATGGGTGATCTTTACTATTCAGAATTTGGGAAAGTTCTCTGGCTATTGCGTCCAAGTAACATTAAAATAAAATTGGTTGTAATTTTAAAATCAAGTTCTTCCTATTTGCTTTATTTGTTCTTGGGGCTGTTTTAAGAAGTTGTGTTTCTGGTGCTATAGCATGTTCAAAGTTTTTAAATTAAGGCAAAATAAAAACCATGGTATAATGAATTCATTGTATAATTTCAGTTTATCAAACTTTGCAGGTTGTTCGGAATCCTATAATTGAAAAACAGAGTAAAGATGGAAAACCAGTTATTGAATATCAAGAGGAGGAGTTGTTGGTAATGTGTCATTATTTGTTTATTTATTTTAGATGTATTACTGAGTATGTTGAATCCCTCAATTGGTCGGATTTAAACTCGGTGGCTTTTGCGGAAGTTTCTGGGGGTATATAGCAAAGGTTTATGTTTATCGTTTACATGAGCACAGTCTTTTTAAAATGTATATGCACCCTATCTCACTAATACCTTCTGCTCTTCATCTACATTGAAAGCCCTCCTAAAGTAAGGCTTACTGAGTCACAAATTAGAATTTAAACACTTCTGGCTGGAAACAGTGGCTCACACCTGTAATCCTAGTACTTTGGGAAGCCGAGACGGGCAGATCACTTGAGGTCAGGGGTTCAAGACCAGTCTGGCCAATATGGCGGAACCCTGTCTTTACTAAAACTATAAAAATTGGCCAGGAACGGTGGCGCACACCTGTCATCCCAGCTACTCAGGAGGCTGAGGCAGGAGAATCGCTTGAACCAGGGAAGCAAAGGTTGCAGTGAGCTGAGACTGCACCACTGCGCTCCAGCCTAGACAACAGAGTGAGACTCCATCTCACAAAAGAAAAAAAAAGTAAACACTTTTTCAGCACACAACTATTGTGGGACCAAGTTGATAAACATTATACCGTTTGGCCAAGAGTCAGTGTAGCTTTGCCATCTCTCCGATAGACATTGTTTTCCCTCGAATTGAGATCTGTGCTGTGTTTTTGTGTTTGCAGGACAAGGTTTACAGTTCAGTGCTACAGCAGTGCTACAGCATGTACAAGGTAAGCCTGGCATTCGTTTTGAACCGAGAGTCCAACCAGTTACCCCTGTTTATATAGGCTCCAGGGTTGTTTATATAGGCTCCAGGGTTGTTTAAAGAGAAATGTTTCAGTGACTGCAAAGTGACTGTGTATTTCTCTTAGAGAAGAAAATAATGAGGCCTTGGAAACAGGTAGTGAGGTTTATGCCCACATTTATTCAGCAAGTATTGAACTCCCTTCTCTCTCTCAGCCTCAGAGTGGGAATGTGTCCCCACTGATGAAAACGTGTGTCTCTGTCCTCAAGGAACGTACAGAATGCAGATAATTTTATGATTTAAACATTTCAGTGAGGCAGGGCACAGTGTATCACACCTGTAATTTCAGCATTCTGGGAGGCTGAGGTGGGAGGATTGCTTGAGCCCAGGAGTTCAGGACCAGTCTGGGCAATATAGCAAGACCCCATCTCTACAAAAAATGTTTGCACAAGTTAGTCAGGTGTCATGGTGCATGCCTGTAGTCCCAGCTACTTGGGAGGCTGAGGTGGGAGGATCGCTTGAGCCTGGGAGGTCGAGGCTGCAGTGAACTATGATTGCGCCACCGCACTCCAGCCTGAGTGACAGAACGAGATTCCGTCTCAAAAAAAAAAAAGGGATAAAAATGGTGATTCCGTTCATTGAAAGAAAACTGAAAAATAAAAATTTGGGTGATATTATTTATATAAATTGAAACTTCAGGGTGAGTTGAAATTTTTGAAAGATGCCCAGAGCAATTAGGCAGTTTCATATATAAGACAGCATCACTTAACAGTATTTTTTTGTAACTTATATTTTTAACTCAGCTTTTCTCATGTAAATATTTTTTCTGTTGAAAAGAACTGGGAGATTTAATGAGCTGAATTAATAATCTAAAGGAAAAAAAGAACTTGTTCTACTGAAAAAGTGAGCATAGGAAATTGATTTTTTTTCCTGCCGTCTTTTACCTCATAGCTTTTTAATGGAACATTTCTGAAAGCCATGGAAGACGGAGGCGTCGAGCTTCTGAAAGAAAGATTAGAGAAATTCTTCCATCGGGTAAGTACTTTGAATTTCATTTATAACTTTAGTGAGCATTCAGCAGATTTTTAGAAAAATATGGACAGACAAGTTCGTTTCTTACGTACAAAAAACCCAGAACTTGAAAGTGGCAAAGAGCCTGAGACAGACAGTCGTAAAACTGGAGCAGCGAGGAAACGCGTGAGGCGAGAAAACGCGTGAGGCCAGGAGACGCGTGAGGCGTGTGCTCTGGACCCTCCCTCCAGCTGTAAGGCAGAGCTTCCTGCGTTCCCCCGGGGCTCTTAAAGAGTCCTGGAGTCATCTTCGGCCTCCTTGTGTTTTACCTGCATCTGTCCTGGGCTTACTCAACAGCCGTCTTTTGTGTGATGGATCAGTTGATCTTTTGTGTGATGGATCAGTTGATAAGGAAAACGTGATTATTGGAGTTGCACATTGTTAGGGATGGGCTCTGTTCACTGAACAGGCATAAGCTGTGTCGATGCAGGAAGAGTTACTGAGTTACTGGCTGTGGGACTGTGTCAGATGAGCCATTAGGGACTTGTGTCCCAAGTGCTGTTCTTCCATTGTGATTGAATTTTGCATATTTCACCCGACCTTGTCAAGCTCAGTTTATCTTTTTTTTAAAAGGAAACAAAAAAAGAGGGTCTTGTCCTGGCTGTTTTGCCCAGGCTGGTCTCAAGCGATCTTCCCTCCTCGGCCTCCCAAAGTGCTGGGGTTAAAGGCATGAGCCGACTCACCCAGTCCAGTTTCCCTTAAAGAAACAATTCTCAATTTATTTTCTTCTGAAAATACCTTCTGTGTCTATTGTTGAGTTCAACTTTTCTCTCTAAAACAGCTTTCATAGCTATTTTCGAATTTTTTGTTTCTCTGAATTACTTCTTTGTTGTTTTGTCATTTTAATGACCACAATTATCCACTCGCATATTATCTCCTGGTTTCTGTTCTTGTCCTCATTTCTCTCTTACACGTCAACATATGGATACAACTGTTGTCCTGACTACGTATCGTTTAGACGCGATTTTAGTTAAGATGGCACTTTCGGCTGGGCGTGGTGGCTCACGCCTGTAATCCCAGCACTTTGGGAGGCCCAGGCAGGCAGATCATGAGGTCGTGAGTTCAAGACCAGTCTGGCCAACATGGTGAAATCTCGCCTCTACTAAAAATACAGAAAAACTGGCTGGGCGTGATGGCGCACGCCTGTAATCCCAGCTGTTCTGGAGGCTGAGGCAGGAGAATCGCTTGAACCCAGGAGGCAGAGGTTGCAGTGAGCTGAGATCGCACCACTTCACTCCAGCCTGGGCGACAGAGCAGGACTCCATCTCAGGGGGGAAAAAAGATGGCACTGTCTGTAGTATTAATGGATAGATCCCTCATTAGGCTAATCTAATTTGAAGGGCACAACTATAAGGAATTACTTTTTTTTTTTTTTTTTTTTT